AAAATGTAAGATATTTGAATACTTATGTTAAAAAAAAAAAAACGATTAATTACTTTTTAAAAAATCAAAATAATAGATTAAGCTAGAAAAGTTAGAGTTAATTTAATAACCACAAAAATGTTATTTAATTAATTTGTGCAAATTTATTTCAGGAATTTTTTTTTTCTTTGCTTTCATAAATTGATATAAATCTTTGACCGGAAAATTTTAAAAAAAAAAAAAAAATGACACATCTACAGTATTTTCAGAATTACAATGTTTGATTTTAGCTGACAACATTTGCACTTTATTTTATTTTTTGTATCATTTTTGTTTTTGTTTTGGAATGGTAAAAATGTGTGTCCGTCTGTCTGTGTGTGTTTGTGTGTGTGTGTGTCTGTGTCTGTGTGTGTGTGTGTGTCTGTGTATGTGTGTCTGTCTGTGTGTATGTCTGTGTGTTTATGTGTCTGTATGTGTGTCTGTGTGTGTATGTATACATATGTATGTGTGTGTATGTATGTTTGCATTAGAAAAGAGGAGATTTTACTTTACCTCATTTATTCCATAGGAATTTCTGACTTTTTCAATAACGTCATCCACAGACATTACCGCCAATCATTTGGATCATTGCAGTAAAACGTCGTGATTTGTGTGTTTTGTGTGTGTGTGTGTGTGTGTGTGTATGTGTACGTGTATGTGTATATGTATGTGTATGTGTATGTGTGCATGTAGCCGGTATGCAAATTGTTTTATTTGTCTTTCTGAAAACTTCCCTACTACTCCTTCATCTGTCCACAAATTTGAATATGTCCCTTCATTTCCTCCTCCTCCTCCTCCTTCTCCTCCTTCTCCTCCTCCTCCCCCTCATCTGTCTCCTATTGCTTGCCATTCCTTCCGCTTTTCTCATTCCTTTACTTGTCTTTTTTAATATCAAGTTAAATTGTTGTGTCCGATTTTTTTTTTCCCCGGTAAAACCAACTGTTGGATGAATCGAATGTAGATGTATTCCTATATCTTCTCATTTTTCATCTTTTAGATGAATCATTTCTTCCATATGAATTGCTCATACATTATTTATTCATCCTCTCAGAATTCCCGTATCTCTGCGGTAGATCTTGAGACGGATGTGCATGAAATCATGTTGTATAATGTTGAATTCCATGAGATCAGGTTACATCCGTCTCAATATCTTATCTGCTCTACCAAATATCTATGATATGTTATCAGTCATAATTTCATCCATTAATATTTATCAATTCTTTAACAAATTTTATTTCTTATCAGTTCTATTCTATTTTCTTTTTCTTTTCTTCCAAAAAATTAGCCATTAATGAAAGTATTGTATGTTATGAAATGGAAAAATTAAAACAAAAATTGTCTTTTTTAATATGAAAAATAATTTAAAGTTAAAAATTTTAATTTTAATTTTAATTTTTAAAAATTTTAATTTAAAGTTAAAAAGGAGAGATCATTTGTATATAAATGATTCATTCATGGTTTTACTATTCATTCTATAAATATGATTATAATTAAGGAAAGGTAACAACTAATTAAGTTTCGTAATTAAGTTTTAAAATTATTGTAAAATACATGTTTCATAACATATATTATTATGTTATATGTTATTTTTGAATAATACTTTTGCAATATTTACGTATTGTTCTGTTTAAGTATTTATGCAATTAGTGGAATTTTGAGAGGTACCAAATTATTAGTTTTCCATTGATTGATTGATTGATTGGTTGATCAATTGATCGGTTTATCAATTGATTTAAAATGATAATATTTTATCATTAAACATGGTAATATTAAGTCTAAAATGATAATATTATATTTTTTGGTTTAAAAAAAAGAAGGTATTATGAGATAGGAAAAAAAAATTTTAGCTACATTTTGGTATTAGCTGAACTGGTTAATATTCTTGTATTATTTTTATGAAATTATTTATGTGATTAAGTATTATGTAGAGAAAATTGATAATCAATTTATCATACTTTCAATTATAATACTAAAATGATAGATGATAACAACACTGATAATTTTTAGAGTATATAGTATTATCCTAATAATAGCAAGTAATAATTTGATAGCATTATTAAAAACAATAATGATAATGCTAATAATAACAGTACTAATAATAATAACAATATTAGTTATCAATTATCACATAATCGTAATAAATGATTTTATTAGGTGATTAAAAAGAAAAAAAAAGATTGTTTTTCAATCGTTACGCAGTGAAATACCGATCATTTTTGTCATCGTTATTATTATTATTATTATCATCATCGTTATCATGGTCATCGTCATTGTCGTCATCATTATCATCATACTAATCGTTCTAAGTTTAGTGGTATAAAATATGCAATGATATTGGTGAAGCGAGGTTAGAATGAATTTAGGTCAACAATGACAAACATCCGTCTGATTTCTCATTTAGAGAGAAAGAGAGAGAGAGAGAGAGAGAAAGGCAAATCATTCTTTTACCCCTATCATTCTGGAATCATATATATGATAGGCAAATGAATCATCCACTGATTGAGACCACAATTGATCATCAATTTATCATCGGAAGTGATGTGGAAGTGAAAATGGAGAGAAGATGAGAGAGAGGGAGAGAGAAAAGAGGAAATGAGACAAGATAGGTGAAAGGAAGGAAGAAATAAAATCAAAGATTTGATGATTATAAAATTGTTGTAAAATTTTTACCTCTCATATATTTCTTCACTTATCATTTCGAATTATTCACTGCTGTTATCAATTTTTCTCTTTTTAATTATATGAATTAAATTATAATGATTATGTTATCATTGATAAATTTTACATTATAATAAATTAATTTATCATCCAATAAGAGGATTGATTCAATTGATATTATCATATATGCATTATATTATGTTATCATATTATCATGGTTCAATCATTACATTATTAAATTTTTTTTCAATCATTGTATGATTAAAAATTAAACTTACCCAATTATTCTTATTTATTTTCATTTTCAATGATTAAATAATAATTATTTTTTAGGATGAATTATTTTTAAAATTCAATATTTTTAGTATATAATATTTATCTGAAAATTTTTTTTTTTTGCCCATTTTCAATTTAATTTCAGATTTTAAAAACAAATAGCATTTTATATTGAAACAAATACACAAATTGCTAAAATGAAATATCAATGATAAAAAAAAAGATGACATAGAAATATGCTACATTATATTTGAATTATTAAATTTTCTAATTTTTTATATTTGATTTGAACTCAAAAAGAAAAAAAAGTTTTTAGCTAAGAAATTTAGTGAAAATTTTGAATTTAATTCTAATAAATTCCAAAAGATGAAATGTTTAGCTAAAGGATAAATGGAAATATTTTTATTGTTAAATAAATTATTATAGTATGCAAATTTCCATTCTCAATCATAGCATGTTATATGTACATTTCCGGTACTATAAAGGAAATCAAAATGAAAGAAAGAAGGAAAAAAAAGAGAGAGAGAGAAAAAGGTATACATTATTGGTCTATAAAAATGTTTCCAGAAATATAATATATTTATAGGAATTATTATATATTATAGGCTTTTCTTTCTTTCCATTCATATATTTTATTTGTTTACATAAAGAAAGAAAGGAAGAAAGAAAAGTATTGTTTGTTAAAGTATGACTAATTTTACTTAACCTTTACCCTTTAACCTATTCTTATCATTTCTTTTTTATCTCTTCTACAAACTCTTTTTCCTTTTTTTTTGCGATTTATTTCAAGAGATTATAGGAAAGGTAAAAGGGAAGGATAAGTAAGAATGAGTTAGAGGATAAAAGTTAAATAGAGTAAATGAAAATGTTGATAAAGATGAAAAAATTGTATGGTAGTGATTTTTTTTTTTTTTTGCTTAAAGACGTTTTGTAGATAATAATTAGTTTAATTATTAATTAATGCCTTTTTAATTTCATCCTATTTTATCGAAATTAAGAAGATATGAATAAATGGGCAATTGTTATAGGAAAGTTGTGAACAAATGAGATAGTGTATAAATGAAGTTGACATAAACACAGAGACGATGACAAGTTATGAAAAAGTTGTGGACAAATGGATGGTATTGGAAGGAGTTGAGGACATGTCAAATATTGGTTATAGTAGTATAGGAAAAATATTTTCAAAAATTGAGAGAAACAAAAGTGAAAAGGAAAAAAAAACTAGTACTAAATATAAGATTGAAAGAAATTGAAATAGTTTGATTTTGTAACAGATAATAGGAGGAAATGGATGAAGCCAGTGAATAAAATTGTTATAAGCCTAGGATTTGATTTATGATTTTTCTTGGCATTTATTTGTTGGCTTCTTTTTTTGTTGTTGTTATTAGGATTGAAATGTAAAATCAATTTTACACTGGAAGAAATTTTATATCAATTATTAATCAATTAAACTGAAATTTTGTATTTAAAAAATATTTCCCGGTAAAATGTTCGTTATAATATATGTATATGGGAATGTAATTCTGATCATATTATTATTGATTTTTTTTTTTTTGAAATATTGAACTAAATTTTCTTTTTTTTCCCCCATTTATTTTGCATTTGTATTTTTTAAATTTATGATTGAATTTTTTTTCTCCCAAATTTCCGGTCGAATTAATTGCATTATCATTGTATTTCAATTGAAAATTATTTTAATTTAAGAAAAA